CTGTTGTGTACAAACTGGGTAAGGCTTTCGCAATAAATCTAAGATTTACAAGATATTCATTTGCCCTCCTGTAGAACACAGGTTATCACCTCTTCTACAAGCTTCTGCTGCCTAGACAAACTCAAAAATTAATTTCTACAAGCCTATTATCTTTGTTATAACTATACACAATTGCCCAATATATACTTGACTTTCTCATGTTGACCCATGTGATCCCACTACTGTATTATTTGAACATTTCAATCTTTCTCTTTCAGAAACAGAAGAAAATCTCCTTTGCCACAATTTTAAGTATGATTGAGTAGGGTTCACCTTCCCATTTTCAAGTGGCTTAATAATATGAAATCTTCAAAACAACATATATTTTCAGAGACAGCACATGATTTATTGTACTGATTACCATTTATCCTGCCTATCGATGGGTGAACAAGGAAGATGAACTTTTCAGAACACAATAAGACTTTTTCATAGATAAATGTTTCAACTTTACTGCAGTTATATATTTTCTCCAGACAAGATCTCACATTTTATTTTCCTTTCCGCTCTTTTCCTTATGTGCCTTTTTATTCTAATGTAACACTTTTCTTAATTAGAGGCCATTTATCTATTAATCCAACTCATCAAAGAACCTAATTTTAAAATGGTCTCTAAATTGCAAAATATATAAAGGTCGATAGGTCCACATAGCCTATAACTTACAAAGAGCAGAACCTCTGAGCACTGTACAGAATCTAGATACTCCGCACCTTATCTGAGAGCATCCAAAGTTACAAGCTTTTCACAGAGGAATAGTTCCTGAGGTCAGTGGGTCTGGGGAGAAAGCCCCCATTCAAGACAAAAGCGACGATGATCAGGCTGCTTATTTTGCTCACTTCTACGCTAAGAGTTTTATTTTCTTTTCTCTCCAGCATACTGAACAATGTTGAATATAAAACCACAACAGTGATGGAAAAATCACCTTTTGTCATTTGCTTGTCTGTAAGAATAATGTGATATCTGTTCTCTGTTATCCCTGTTTTCTGATTCCACATAATGCTGGATGCTGATAATAAAGATCCTGAATGACGACGGAGAAATTTTCAATAAACATTTAAGAAGGCAACAAGTATATAATGCATGTTCTGTGAAATATTTAGAACCCCTTTGGATACTTACTGGAATGAACTTCATTTATCTGGAAAATGAATTCCTTTGATTAGCTAATTTGTTTAAATAATGGCAATGAGCTATGATCTTATTTCCCATTTTGAAGAATGGGAAGGTAGGAGGAAAACTTACTATAGGGCTTCATTATTTTTATGAAGAAGCCATTTTCAAATAACATGACCAACAAAATATACATGTACTCACAATGAACAATTTCCAATGGAACTTACTTTTAAGTTCATAATTATTCTGTACTATATAAACTTTGCTCTTCTCCATTTACCTTGCACTAAATGCCTAATCTGTCCATGACACTCATAAATACATGTATGAAATCTTTAGTCATCGTAGTTAAGGGACTTTGTTTCAAATGAACTGAACACTTATAGACTGTTTCATATCCTGTTCTGTGACAGAAGATTGAAAACATATGCAGATGACAGACTGATTTCATCTAAAATATTTTATGCATTCAACACTTAAAATCGTAGAATTGACTCTTCAAAGCTCATTAGCCAGACATGTGCATTTATATTCCAGTGTTGTTTCTTACATAAGAGTCCATAGCTCCAGCAGAGTTTCATACAATGCTCTTAGACAGTTGCATGATTTTATGCTGACAAGAGAGTGGATCAAAACTCAGAGAAAGAACACAGTGCATCCATGACCAGCATATGCTGCGATTCTTCTATAGCTAGCCTTTCTTCCTCAAGACGAGGATCAGTTGTCACAGGGAAAGACGCACTGAAATGTGTTTTCTGTGAACTTTAAATTGGAGCACAGAGGAACAATATATGGCAAAGGGAGTAACTGGTTTGCTATAGGAATATTTACAAAGATAATGTTTTTTTCTTTTCTTCTTTGGCTTGGGTTTTGAAACAATGATTATCTGAAATTTAAATCTTATATTCCAATCAATATGTTTTAGCTCTCCTTTGTAATATTTTCATGTCTTCTGCACTGTAACACTATAGTATGCAGTAATAACACTTTTTAAATGCTTTATAAAGAAAATTAATCACTGCAAATGGTAGAAACACTTAAGTACTTTTAATTCTCTGACATATATGCTTAGGAGACAGGATCATCTATTACAATAATGATCATCAAGAAGTATGCAACAACCTATCATGCTTTAACAAAATTTACTGTGGATATAACATTTCTTTCAAATGTAAGATTGTTCATATTTATAAAGGTTATCATCATTATTATTATTGCTACTCAGATTAAAGGCTCAGGAAGTGAATTATTTTGCCAACAGGTACAAGGAAATTAATTCCATATTGGGTTGTAAATCCAGTGCTAGCTTTCTCATCCTGATCACAAAGTCTATCTCAATTTTTAATCCCTCCATTCATGTATCAAACATAACAACAGGATAACTATTGGTGAAAAACATCCATTGAGTGTCATTGCTAAGTGACATTTATCACTGCCAGTCATTAATGAAGTTAGGATAAAAGCTGCACTGTTTTTGTACTACCTGAAAATGAGAATGGAAGCCACTAGAAGACAATTATCGGAGTGAGAGAACTGACTAAATTGCCCAAAACTAAAAATGGCTGAAGACACTGCAGAGACAAGGTCATACTTTTGTAGTTAATAAACAATCACTACCGCCTACAGAGCATCACAGTGTTCCTACCAGTGTCCTAGACAATTTCCTGCCGAATCTTTTATTCCTGAGAGGAGTGACGGCATAGTGAAAAGTGTAAACCTTGGACTCTGAAAAAACGGAGATCAAGCCCTGGCTCAAATCCTTACTGCTCTGACTTTATATTCTTTCTTCATTTTATTATTATTATTTTTTTTTTTTTTTGTCGGAACCAGGGATTGAACTCAGACTATTGCGCTTGCCAGGGAAGCGCTTATTCTACTGAGCCATCTCCCTGGCCCCCTATATTCTTTATCATATAATTAGTCTAATCCTATATTACAGAGTTATTCTTTCTCATGACTAAATGAAATATAAAAGCACTTCAGCTTTGCCGCAAGAAATAATCACAACAAACTTAAAAGAAAACTGTTTTGTCTAAATACCAATGTAGTGCGTATTTAAAACATCAGGTTGGATGCCTGCAGCTGGAAAACTTATGATATTCTTCTTCATATCTCCAGGATACGGCATAAAGCCTAATATAAAATACATTAATGCTGAATGATGGCAATTATGATGTCCATAAGGACATGCCTATCAGATCTATTGCTAAGCCCCCACAGTCTTCACTTGTCACACAGTGACTTCCTTCCCCTGCTTAATCTCCATCCACACCAGGGCCTAAACCCAAGCTGAGGAGTCACTTAACCTGGATCACCACAGCAGGATCCTGATGGAGGGCACGATGCCTTCGTTGGCTTTCCTCCAGCCTCTGTTTACTTCCCAAGGTAGAGGGAGCTTTTCAAAGTGTAAATAAATCTTATCACACTCTTATGACTCAAAGAATAAATACAAAGTCCCTAATCTGGTCTACAGAGTTCTCAGTTGCCTGGGTCTTGCCTACTAATCAATATTGCAGCAGGTAATCTGTCCTGTTTCATTCTCCTTTGCATTCATGGTAGTTTTCTTTTAGTCTCTCATGTTCTTGGTGTTCTGTTTCTTTGATTTTGTTTGGTCTTAGGTGCTCTTTGCCCAAGCTTTGGCCTAGATACTGTGGGTTTCCAACTTGCCCTTTCTGCATCAGCTTTGTTACTTCTCCAGAGAAGCCTTCTCTGACCTTTCTGTAAGTTCTTATACAACCATGTACCTCTCCTGCACAGAAAACACCAACTCATATTTCCTTATACTATTCTTTAATGAATGTCGGTGCATCTTCACAGTCAAGACAGAGGCTCCACATGGGACCTGCTATTTCTTCAGGTGCTTTGAGATTATTCAAAAGAGTGATTTTCATTAACATCTATATAGAAACACTAAAATTCACCCGTATGGTCTGCCGAAATGATCTTAAGAAACATTTTCTTTTTAAGTTACTGAGTAACTACTGACATATCAAGTCAAATAAACGGCAGTTGGAGGAAGATACAAAGCTAATCCTGTTTCAGAGTTTGAAAATATATTTCCTAATTTAGAACCTCATTTATTTCCATTTGAAAGCATGTGTTAATTTCATAGCAAGTGATTTTTTTCTTTCTTAGACCAAAGCCTATAGGAAATTCTGCAGGAGAAATTGCCACAATATTGCATGTGCCCACAAAATAAAATCATTCACACATTTAAAAAGCTTTAAAGGAATGATGGCTCAATCAGAATTATTTTTAGTATGAGTTCTAAGGTCTTACCAAGTGGCTATCACACCATCTGCAATGAATACTCGAGTGGAAAGAAGCTGTGCTACAGTTTACTTTGAGTAGAAATAATTTCTCTTAAGGAAACCAGCCTGGGTTATAGTGACCCTTCATTAAATGGTAATATTAAGCTGAGCGAGTAGTGCTAAACGTTCTGTGTGCAATTTTATAAGTACATATTACCTGAAACATATCAATGACAGAATATTAGGCAATTAAGAATTCAATGTGAAAAGGTTACAGTCTGAAAAAGGTGAAGAAAGACATCAGCGCACATACCTAATATTAACAGTGCAGAATGCAGCTGCGGGCTTAAGGAGGCCGGATCACCCAGAGCTGCTAAGAATGCAAGCAAAGTGACTTGAAATAAAAACCCATTACTCGACTCCATTCCATCAGCTTAGCGTTCTAGTTGGATCCAAACTCTCCCTCCAAGTACAGCCAAACACTGGGAAAGTCCCAGGTAACTTGAACCAGGGCAAACACATGCCAGTAGGGGTCCTGGAGAGCTGACAGGGTCGCACTCCCTTCCCCACCCTCCAAGGCCAGCTAGAGCGGTAGCTCACCTGGAAAGCGCCCTCGGCCGCCGGGGCTGCGGGCGGCGGCACCGGGCCCGGCCGGCTCTGCAAAGCCCTGCCTCGCACGGCAGCCACCGCCTGGCCCGGACGCACTCTGGCCCGAATTTTCTCTCCATTGAGAGCACAGCCTGGTCCTTCCACCATCTCTCTAGCCGGCACTGTGGCCCACGGGTTGAAAGGCAGGAGGAGAAAACTCTGTACTCTCAACCGCGCGCGGGATGACTCCAAGAAGAGGAAGTTCAAATCTCCCGCCGGCGCCGCGCCCAGGCCACGCCCAGGCCACGCCCATGACCGGTTAGGCCACTCCCATAGCCAGCCAGGCGACGCCCACGCCCAGGTCACGCCCATGACCAGCCAGGCCACGCCCATAGCCAGTCAGGCCACGCCCATCCCGCGTAGCACGCTCGGGGCCACTCGGCTGCCACGCCCCCGCGGCGCAGGCGCAGGCATCCGCTCAGGGCCCGCAGTGCTAGGTGTGCTGAGCAAGGCTGAGCTCTGAGAGCAGAGGAAATTGAGACTTGGGAACCTCCAAGCTTATTTTTTCTGCCTATGTTTCAGCTAGTCAGTCCAAGCACGTTTGTTGATTTGACACTCGCAACCTGTCCCCAAATCTAAAACTATTCTAGCCTGGCAGGGTTTTTCGTTTGTTTGGTTTTTGTTATTGCTTTGGCGACACTGGGGATTGAACTCGGGACCTAGTGCTTGCCAGGCAGGCGCTTATGCCCCTGAGTGTGCACTAATCTCACTTGCGGAGAACTGCAGGAAGGAGGATTCATAGAACAGCTACGATTATTTTTCTAAGTTTAGCATATTTTAGAACAACCCACTTTATATGTCAAATATATATTAGTGCCTATTGAAAATGTCTTCACTTTTAGATGACTGAGTTCTTTACAACAAATTTAGGCGTCAGATTGTCTTTTTTGTTGTGGCACACCCTGAGGGGAATGATCTTTGAAAGTACATTGTAAAAGGCAGGTCTCTACATACTTGGGCAATGTGGGAAGATTTTCTTTTCTTTTCTTTTCTTTTCTTTTCTTTTCTTTTCTTTTCTTTTCTTGAGACAGGACTTTGCTTAACTCACTTTGTAACAGCAGGCTGCCCTGGAACTCTTGCCAGTCCTCCTGCCTCAGCCTCTTGAGTGATGGAATTTTAGGCTTGGGCCACCACGCTCACTAGCTTTTCAATTTTAACCATAAACCTAAGCATACTTGTACACACACACACACACACACACACACACACACACACACACGACACTAGAGATTCCCTATAGTTCTATACATTAGAATTTGTTTCTTTTTAAATTGAAATATGGTAAATTAAAAGTGATAAATTATAAGTGATATAAGCATACCACTGTACTGCACTTAAACCAGAAAGATACACATATAGGGATGTAAATATATTAATGCCTGGGGCTGGGGAGATGGCTCAGTGGAATAAGAGCTTCCCTGGCAAGCGCAAGGCACTGAGTTCAATCCCCCGTTCCGCCAAAATAAATAAATAAATAAATAAATAAATAAATAAATAAATTATATATATGGATGTCTTAAATATGTGAATTTTAATGTTAACTCAATCTACTTAAATGAATAACTTAATATATAAATATTTTAACTCATATAATTTCAATAAATATTTATTTTATTTACATGTATTTATATAACTTACATAGCATCCGTTAGTGACTTGAATCTTCATAGGGGGAGTGATTGGTGGCCAAAGTTGGCAGGATCAGATTCAGTATTATTTGTATTGTACTCTTTAGTTTTTACTTACTCTTCTACATCATTAAGAGGTGAGGAAACAATCTTATCCTCTCCCATTTAAATTCAGTTACAATCTCAGCCCTGGATGTCCTATACAGTGTTCCAAACAATTTCACCTTTGTGGTATTTATTTCTATCTAACAAATTATCTTTTCAAAGATCTGACTGAAACTTGAAGGTCCCTTTTTGAGGCTGTTCCCAGAGAATGGAGTGTTTTTGACCTAGAGGAGATAGAAATAAGACTGGGACAAATATTTCCAGCGCACCCAGTCCTGTGCAGGCAAAGCTTTGTTGGAGAGGGTGGAAGGGGGAGGCGGGACTTCAGTAAAATTGAATCTTTGATTGACGGGAGAGCAAGCAAGCAATTGGCTGAGTGACCAAACTGCTACTCATAGAACAAAAGCTGCTACTCACAGGAAAGCAGATGTGTTGGGGTTGGCTAAAATCCAACAATTTTCGTTTTCCAGTGGTATGCTTCAAAAGATGCATTTTCATGTGACAGGCTTATAGCAGTCTGTAGTGATGATCAATATATCATAAAAGCATTCGAGGGGCCGGGGAGATGGCTCAGTGGAATAAGCGCTTCCCTGGCAAGCACAAGGGCCTGAGTTCAATCTCCGGTTCCACAAAAATAAAATAAAATAAAATAAAATAAAATAAAATAAAATAAAAGCATTTGAATTTCCGTGCACGTGGTTTGTACCTGCACAGACACCTCTCGGCCTTGTGCTTGGACTGACAAATGGTCAGATGTGCTCAGAAGCTGTTACCCCAAAATCTGATTTCATCATACTGCATGAGCACCCTGGCTTTACGATAGGGCTAAAATAATTTTAATGCTTGAGCTGCTGATAAAGCATAAGCCTGGGGTGGAAAACACACACACACAAACTCCAACAATGATTAAGCCAAATTCATCCTTTATCATAGTTATGGGCAAAACATTTCTTTAATGATGAGCATGTCTGCATGCATCACTCAGGCATTAAAAGACTAAAGAGTCAGTTTTCTCAGGAAATGCAGCCTTCTGGTCCATTGGAAACAACCAGAATAACCGTTACCGTAACAGGAATGTCAGAGGTGCTCTCTATAGCAAAGGTTGTAGGGCAGCAAATAATGTACTGCCTAACTTGTAACCTTCAAATTGGAGATTTTTGGTTTGAGCAAAAGCATGTGAAAATAGAGGGTTTGGTTTTTCATTTTTTCTTAATAGTAATTTCCCATTTCATTGGAACATTCTGTTTTAGTGGTTTTATCAAGGACTCCTGATTGGTCTATTAAAACATATGCTACCAAGGAAACCCAAAAGTTTATTGTGTCATCTCCATCTTCTTTCCCCCAGGCTAGTCCCTATCTATGTCACGATGGCTCACTTGCATGGCTGGTGACAGGAGGACTTAAATTTCTTATCACAAAGTTCTTTTCACAGAATGGCCTGGCGGGTCTCAGGATGTGGGAGCTAACTTATTCCAGAGTGTGGGATTCAAAGAAAAGGCAAAAAAGACAACAGCAGTGCCTCTGTCACCTAGTGTCTGAGGCCCATTTGTACTGCTTAGTCAACCTGAGGCTGGGTTTATAATGAGCAAAAGTGTATCACTTACCATTATGCAGACTAGAAAGCCCAAGAGCACAGTACCAGCAGGCTGTGTCTGTTGAGAGTGCAGTCTCCGCTTCCAGGATGGAGATTCGAACACTGCATGTCATCCAGAAGAGAATGCTGAGGTCCCAAACATCAGAAGGTAGAAAGGTAAACCCTTCCATGGGGAACCCCATCCCTTATGTGCCCAAAAGGCCAATATTCCAAGAATAATTTTTAGTATTTTTGCATTGAGATTCACTTTCTACATGAATTATGGAGGATGTAAAAGCATTCAAACCACATCATTAAGTCTCATATAGTCACTCATTCCATTTATTAGAAGCCAGTTTTTTTTTTTGTACAGATGATAAATAAAGACACAAGTTTATTCATGATGAAGCGTCAAAGATTTGTGAACATATCTTCAAACCATTAAAAGCTTCATCACACTGGGGCTGGTGAGACGGCTCAGTGGTCTAAAGCACCTACTTAGAACAAGCACTGGGGCTGGTGAGATGGCTCAGTGGTCTAAAGCACCTACTTAGAACAAGCTTAGCAAAGCACAGGGACCGCGGTTCAATCCCCCAGTACCACATGCCAGCCAGCCCCGCCCCCTGGTGGGCTGAGCTGGCCACACACACACACACACACACACATAAATAAAATTTTTAAAAAAACTTCATCACAATTTCTCGGTTGTTCTTTAGATATTTAACCTAGTGCACATTTTGAATCAAATGTGATATTTAATTAGAATTAGGCTTTCCTGAGAGCCATGACTTGGTGGGTGACTGACACTGAAAACATTAAGAGATTTCACTGATGGGACTCACAGGGCCACACTGATTTGTTTTCATGTGAGTAGCTGTGGTGAATTGTCAACTTGTACTCAACTTGTAACACCCAGCTGAAATGAACCAGCATGGTGCTGGGTGTGGGAGCCCCACATGAGGATTGTTGCCACCAGCAGAAGAGGCAGAACTGGAGAACCTGTTTAGAGAAACTGTTGGGAAACTGTTAGGGAGCTGCTGGTTGTCTTGGGCTATTCTGCTGGAGGACCTGTCCTGTTGGCTTTCCTTATGAATTTGGTTGTTCTTTTTTGGAGGAGGAGCTTCAGACCTCTGTGCTAAGGAGAATGGTTATGGTTCACTTTTGGGGAGCTCTGGTCTTCACCTTGAGCATCACTTTCTGGCTCTGGATGGCAAGATGGTGCACAGCTCCATCTCTTGGAAAAGCTTATTGCACTGACTTTCCTGATGGGAACTCAGCTTTCCTCATTGTCTAAGGAACTCTGGACCTCACTGTCACTGGGATGGCTGTGGTACCTTTTGTGGTAATTTTTCTGATTCTTACTTTGAGTATTACTTTCAGGCTCCAGTACAGATCCCTCAGCCTGCTAGCAAAGCTCCTTCATCCTACCTATGCAGACTTTCTAGCTTCCACAGCTGACTTTTGGTCTTTCCCAGAGCAGATACGTGAAACAGGCCTGCATGGATCATTGTCATGGGCTTTAGGACTCCAGTTGGACTTGTGGGAGGCATTTTTATCAGCTGTAAGTCTTCACCTGGACTCATGCAGGACACTGTCATGGGATCCAGGCCCTCGCTGGAGTGTTAGCTCCATAGTGTGTGGACAGATTTCCTGCACTCTCTTTTTGTATATGATTCTTTGGGTGACCATTATAAATATCTAATGAGATATGTGTCCTATATTAAATAGTTCTTTCTTCCAAAACCCCAAAATATGACAAAATTGATAGTGGGAGTGGGGCTGTTGCTGTGATGGTACCTGAT